TGGAAGGGGACTGGGATGAGCTTAGAGTAGGGATGGGAAGTTGGTAAAGATGGATTTTTACTTTCATCTATATTGTGTGGATTTTTTTTTTTTTTTTTGGGTTGTCGGGCCCCCCACTTTTGTGGCCTCTCCCGTTGCGGAGCACAGGCTCCGGACGCGCAGGCTCAGCGGCCATGGCTCACGGGCCCAGCCGCTCCGCGGCACGTGGGATCTTCCCGGACCGGGGCACGAACCCGTGTCCCCTGTATCGGCAGGCGGACTCTCAACCACTGCGCCACCAGGGAAGCCCCGTGTGTGGATTTTTTTGCAATAAAACATTTGTGTTATCAAAATGTAAAAGGTATTTTAAAGTAAAAAAAGAGAAACTGAAATAATCTAACTTTTTAAGTTGTCAAAACTGATGATCAAATCTATTAGAACGTCATATTGATATTTTACAAAACAGCTAAGACTGCAAGTTCAAAAGTACTTTTCCTATTTTGTTGAAAGTATGTGTGTGTATGTATAGGTACTGTATATGTTTATATTTACTACATACACCTAAATATTTGTACATGGATACTACATCTATCTACTATATCTATCTATACACACTATATACATCTATATATACTGCATATATCTATATATGCTGGTAATAAAATGCATAACTGCTGCTTTGGTTTAATCATAGATAAATATCTCATTCTTTATCATTGTTCTTATTACTTATAATGGCAAAAACATCTCCTATATGATTATGATTAATCTGGTAACTGAATACAGTTTGCCTTTAAAATAATTCAATTAATTTTAGTAAATTCAAAAAGTTTTCTGACATAGTTGCAAAATTAAGAAAAAATGAAACCCTGAGTTGCAAAATTAAGAAAAAATGAAACTCTGGTTTACAATACGTAGCATCCCTTTAAATGAAACCCTTCCAAGTGTGAAGAATGCGTTAAGGTTTCATCAAGTGAATGCTCCTTGTGTAGAAAAACTGATCTAAATCATGATTTAAACTTTAGAACCACTACAATCTTTCCATTTGGGCAAAACTTCTTGGAAACTGACAGGGTAGAGGGGTTATTTCAGACCTCTGGGGATATCCCAGGAAACAAAATCTCCTCTAAAGGAATTGTGCAAGATTGACACCAACAGGGATCCCTTTCCAGACTGCGTGAGACTGTAGATTGGGTGTTTAGTGCCACTGAGAAAAGGAGAAGCCACCAGGCTTTTTATTTACCCAGGGAACCCGTCCTGAAGATATTCAATGGTCTGTGCCTGCACCGACGTCTCCTGGGGGTGATCAAATCCTGCCCCTCACCCCGCAAAGAGGAGACTGTACCCAGACCCGCGATCATGCACCTGCCGGTTAACAGATCAGCCCTCCACATGCAGAGGCACTCGCCCAGCTGTGTCGGAGGATCAGAGCCGGCCCTCTCCCTCCCCACCCCTGCGGAGCAAAGGGAGGTCATTTTCTGCTCCTCCCAGAGTCAGAAGTGTGCACACGCCTTCCATCACAATTAACTTAAGACTCTGAAACAACACAAACTCACCCACAACATGCTCAAAATCAATGCCATCAATACCCAGAAGGAGGATACCAAAAAGGTAAAACAAAACAAATCTATTCAAAGGGTAAATACTCAAAGCAACAGGGCTGGAGTCAGACACACTACAAGGTCAACAAATCCAAGACAAGTTCAAGTGCGGGCATTTTATAAACTGAAGAGCTGCCCAATATCCCAGGGGTCAGAAACGCAAATGCCTTCAGGTGCCAGCTAATGGAAAGGTCTATAAGATAATAGAGGGTGGGCCTGTCAGGAGCTGGACTGCAGGTGCCCCAGGTAAAGGCATTCACATTCAATTTTTAAGAATTTCAATTCCTGCTGTGTGATTCCTAAAGAGAGTCTACCATCAAACAGAGTTAAATATGGGTGTAGGGTGGATAAAACTGAATGAAAGTCAAAGTCAGATATGTTGCCAAGGAGTCCACAGGGCATGAAAGGCAGGGCAGTGATCCTAGCTGTCATTATTTGAAAGGGTAGTGACCACTTGGTTTAAATCTTCAAAGGTAATAGCAAAACAAAAGTTAAAAGAAATGGCTTACTAAGCTCGAATATGAGGGATTCAGATTAGTCACGTAGATTCTTGACATAAGTAACTGAGCTGGATTATGAAAAGATTGCACACATTCCCTTGGAAGGCTCTAAATAAAGGGAGCCTCCAAAAACAATAAGTGCGACTTATTGGAAGGCAAGGGGTGGACCGAATGACCCGCCAAGGTCCTGATTTAAATATGTCTGTATAGTCAGCCCCTGGTTATGCAGTCCAAAGAAGAAGACAGTGACAAACCATCCTAAGCTGAAGATAATAAAGAGTTATATTTGCCTCTGGAATGTATTTTGGTACTTAAATTAGAACGTGTCTTTCTGATGCTCTGAGAATTCACAATGCGTCAATAACAGCCACAAAGGAGGCCTGACCTGGAGTTGGGAGGCGGCCCAATTTCGCCATCCTGTCCTCTATGTAAATCTTCCTCTTTGCTGGTGGTGAGCAATGTCATCTTTTAGAAGAACACCTGGCAGCCCAAGTTTTCTCAGACAGGGGCTGCCTGGCTCAGCCCTTCGCTGGGAGAAGAGACGAGGGCCTTTCCCTGGTCTCTGGCTGATTCAGAATAAAGACCCAGGATGGTCTGGTTCTTGCTTCTAGAGGATAACTCCAAAGTGCTACAGGCCCCACAGGAAGCAGCAAGCTAGACAAGGTTTAGACATCTACTCTAAGCTGCCTACGAATGATGGTCTAGCTTCTCTGCCATAGAAGACGCAAAAGCAACTTTCTTGAGCTCCTTGGAAGAGAAAGAGAAAAAGGCTTCACTGAAAAGGAAGGTGAAATGAATGCCCAGCACTGGGAAAGCAAGAAGCTGGATGCTCAGGAGATGCAGTAACAATGCCCTGCCCCTCAAAGGATGGGTGGGATGGAAATCTGAGCTTGCCACCCATCGTCCAAGATGAAAGGAGAACCTGGTCATCATTGTGGGGGCCCAGGAGGAGGGAAAGATAGGAAGGAGGGAAGTTGCCTCACTCTTCTCTGTCCTCTGTCAGCTCCCAGTGCCTACCAGAGGGAGGCTGGTGTCATCTGGTAGGAGGCAGGGCCAACTAGAACATCTCAGAAGTGCATCACCGCCCCTTACCCAGAGACCCTGGCAGAGTGACGCAGGCTCCAGGAAGCAGGATTTGGCCAGGAAGGCTTCTCTTGGACTCAGAGAGTGACTGGACAGTCACAGAACTGAACACAGACAAGCTGCTTGGCTCCGGCCCTGCACAGGTCACCCCCGGCAATAAGGGTCATTACAACCATTCCTATTTCCCCCCTTTCTATCACACTCTGCTCTTTAGTTTTCCTTCCGAAGTCCCAGAACAGTGCTGTCTAATTTAAATGTGGCTGTATAATATTAAAATGAAATAAAATGAAAAATTCAGTTCCTTGGTCACAGTAGCCACATCTCAAGTGCTCAACAGCCACACGTGGCTAGTGGACGCCATATTGGACAGAACCAAGATAGAACTTCTACATCATCGTAGAAAGTTCTATCTGTCAGCACACGAATCTAGACTTTCATGAGATCTAGAATCTAGGAACTTCTACTCTTCATGGTCTACAAGAAAAGAATAAATGAAAGAAGAAATGCACTTACAAAGTATCTTTTCTATACATCGTCAGCACTAATCCTCACCACTGCCCTGTATGGTAGGCAGGGGTAGATTTCAACATGCCCATTTTACAGATGAGGAAAGTGGGGCCTGTGTAGTTAAGTAACTTGCACAAGGCTCACAACTATTGGATGACACAGGACTAAAACCAGGTTTTCCAGTGCCAAAGTCAGTGGTTTCTACTGTTACATGCAACTGCTACAAATAATGTTACCTCCATTTACTTTGTTCAGTGCTGCCATAAAAGCTCCAGCCTTCTAGAATGAGGTTGACAGGCCCCTGTAGTGTATTTATTGATTGGCTGGTTTTTGAAGTGATAACTAAACTTTGTACAATGTAGTTTAGCAGCTCTATAGTTAGGGAGCCGTGGGGTTCAAATCCTGACTCATCCACTTACTATTTACTTGATAGAGGGCAAGTCACTCACCATCTCTGAATCCTAATTTCCTTTTCTTGTATATTTACTGCATAGTGCTGTCAGGAGGATTAAATAAGACAGTGCGTGGAAGGGCTTAGCACAGTGCCTGGTACATATTAGTGCTCCATAAATAAGGATTACCAACGGTGATCGGCAGAATTTACAATGCACTCACGTGCAACAGCGACTGAAGCTTCACGGTAGGGGGCGTCTTGCTATCTCCAGTTTTGTGGATGATACACCTGAATCTCGGTGTATAAGGGGCTGACTCAAGGTCATGCAACTGGAAAGCCGTAGCTCTAAGGCATGAACTCAAGCTACTTGGACTCCAAATCTTTTCCTGATACACACTGTTCCGTCTCAGGAGAGAAGGGACCAGGGGCGCCAAGGCATGGTTTAGAGGAAGTTTAGCTATCCTTCTTCATCGCCAACTTCCCCCCTTCTCTGAAACAGGCAATTAACGTTTTCTTAGTCTTGTGTAAAATGCTGTGCAAAGGCAGCTTTGAGCAATCCCTTCTACCATAATTGTCACCCTTAAATCCCTCGTATATAGAGATTCTAGTGTCTCACTGGTAAGGAAGTAACACCTGCATAACTAAGGAGGCCAAAATATGAACAGAGTGCCTTGAAGCAGGGCATTCAAATCTTCTCCCTGGAAAGCCTGTGGATCAAGCACTTTTCTTCCAATCTACCCTCCATCCCAATTCACTGTTACAGCAAAAAGGCAAGGACACAGCCTGCCAGAGCCCAGCTGAGTCCGGCCAAGACCCAAGCGCGTGAGAATGTGTGTTGTTGCAAGCCCCTGGGCTTTTGGAGCTATTTGTTATCTGGCCCTATTACAGCAAAAGCTGACTAATGTATCTGTCAAACCCAGGGCGGGAGGTACTTACCCTGCCACGACAATCTCAAAGTCCCCGTCGTGGTCCACATCAGTCACCGCCACTCCATAGTTGAGCTGGGTGGGGTTGCTGTCATAGTCAGGGGGCAGGACTGAGTTGGTGACTGCCGTGAACATGGGTTCAGCGCGCAGGGACCCCTCAGTCAGGGGCAGAAACCACAGCAGCAGCAGGAACAGAAACATCTGGAACATCTGAAACCAAAAGTTACAAATGTTAGGTGCAGCAGTACCTTTCTTCCCTGTTCCTGGAGGGCTTGGCAACTCCGAGGCTGCCACTTTTCCACGAGACCTGTCCCGACTATGCTCTTTAAAACTGCAACCTGTCCCCATCATGTCAGGTCACCCTTATCCGGCTCTGCTTTTTCTTTTTCTACAGCACCTATCACTTTATAATATGCTGGATGACTTCCTCATTCATCATGTTTTGTTATTTAGTGTCTGTCTCCCTCAGCCAGAACATAAGCTCCACCAGGGCAAGGCTCTCTGTTTTGTTCATGTATTCATTCAAAGCCAAGGACAGTGTCTGGCACAAAAGAGGCACTCAGTACATATTTAGGAAGGAAGGAAGGAAGGAAGGAAAGGAAGGAAGGGAGGGAGGGAGGGGAGGGAAGGAAGAAATGGTAGAGTATAAACACATGGGCATCTCCCATCCTCTGGGAGAAAGGCTGGGAGGATGAAGAAAACAACAGATCTCAGACAGTCCAGGGGTGGGTGAGAGCCCCATGAGGGTCCATGTCTAGAACAATAGTAGAGGCAGTAAAGGATTATCCTTCTGTGGGACCTACCCCAGAGGCAGCCTGGAGGGAATCTGTGACTTGGAAGGTTCCCCTGCCAAGGTCCCTCCCTAGGGCAGCTGGCCGTCGCCTCCAGACCGGGAAGCAGTCAGTTATGGAATGTATTCCAGCAGGATCTGGCGAGCGGCACATCACTCACTTGGAGAAATTAAACCACTGTGTGTGTTTTATTATAAATTAATTATGTATAATCCATTGTATAATTCATTATTATATCTCTAACATAACTCAGGGTGTTGCCAAACAGCCTGGAGCTGCGAGAGCCGGTGGCAGGCACGCAGGAGACAGGTGAGAGTGGCCAAGGAGGTGGAAGAACTCCATCCTTTCCTGACGTGAGCCAGGGAGACACTGAGAATGCTACAGATGGCACCACCCCGAGGTGCTGCCCGCAGGCTTAGAATCAGAACTCTGAGAGTGTTCCAAAGGCTCCCCTGGGACAAGTCCCACAAGGCCTGCACAGGCAGTCCCGCAGGCAAGGCAGGCGGCACACCTCTTCCTGATGGAACTTTTCCTGCTGGCTTGTCAGTGTGGCTGGCAGCCAAGAGCAAGGCTGAGTGAGGCTGATGTCTTAATGAAGAGAAGACCTGAAGACCGACTCCCCAGATGGAGACAGACATTCCTGCCAGCAAAGGAGCTTGCTCCAGTTCAGGACCCAGAGACCAAAATGAAGGGCCCAGGCACTGTCTACAGAGCCAAACATAATTCAGAAGCCTTCCTAATGCCTCGCTGGGGAGGCTGGAGAGAGACACAGGGGCAGGGCTCTAACTGCAGGGCAGAAACTAACCTCAGCGAGCCTTCCTGGGAAGAAAGTTCTTGTAGCGTGCTTAGAGGGCGCATGCTGGGTGCTGCACTATCAGAATGAGGCCAGTCCCAATTACAGAGATGTCTGAGCACAACAGCAACATCTACTGGGCTGTCTAGTCACTAAAGGCAAACACATCACTCCGAGAGTTCTGCAACTTGGCAAGAAGTTTGGTTGGATAAAGGAAACTCATAATTGGATTAATGAGCAGCTGGGGTGGGGTGGGGGAATGAGAAGCTAAAGAGTATTTAACAACCAGGTTAGCCATGCTGAAATGTAGCGTGATCTGAAGGTCACAGGACTTTTCAAGGTATGAATTCTGTTGTAGGGATGGCAGATGAGTTTCAACTTGACAGAAAAAACTGACTGGCAGTGGCTTGAAAGAGTACTGTGATCAGCTTACAACATTTGCAATCAATGGGCATGAAGGAAAAACTGGTATTGGGCATGCATTCTAGAAGCTATTAAGTTCCTCCCAGGCACTACTACACTTGCAGTTTGGGTCACTGCCACCAGGGAGGCAGGTCCTATTAGGGTAATATAAGCATCTGGTAGAAATTTTCTAACGAAGGCCACGAGGGGCAAGAACCGTGATCCAGCCTCTTGATTTTTACCTTTGTTTGAAAAGTAGAACTTTTAATTAAAGGAGACATCTGAAAGAAATAGCTACTCTGTGTTATCCATTTCCAGATAAGTAACCTAAAGCAAGATTAAACAGAAATAATACACCCGTGGGATGACCTCTGTTTTGCTTGGTGACCTTGAACAAGTCACAGCCTTGCTGGGTCCCAGCTTTATTCTCCAAAATAAGGGTCTGGGAGTAGATCTCTAAAGGTCCTTTCCGGCTCTAAAATTCTATGATGAATTAAAGGATTCCTTTTAGAAGCAGACCTTCGGCAGTTTTTCTTCCCAGCTTCTTCTATAAACTTCAGACCAACCTGTGTGGTTTTCCTTTCTGAGCATATTAAACATATTTTGAGCAAAACAGCTATTCAGCAGAGCTCTGTAGCAGTTCCCTTGCAGGGGCCAAGGCCAGACAGGAACGTGCCATCATTAGTGTGGAACCGAATGCACTAGGCACGAGCAGACCAGTGGACGGCCTCCCCCAGGGGGGTGGGCTGAGAGTAGAGCAGGGAGAACAATTCCTTTATATTTCATTCTTCTGACATGCCAAAGGCTCCCAGGGCTGCTCAGCACCAGCTGAAAGTTAGAGGGTCAGTCGAGGGCCTGCTGGGAAACAGTTGTGGTGGGAAACTTAGGAAAAGGCCTGGTAAATATCCACCCTCTAGCTCAGGGCTCAGATGAAGGAAATCACTGAAATGCCCCTCTACACTCTGGCTACTCAGTGGTCCCCAGACCAACGGCATCAGCATTAGCGAGGAGTTTGTTAGAAATGCAGAATCTTGGCCCCTACCCCAGACCTAATAAATCAGAATGTGCATTTTAACACGATTTCAGGTGATCTGAATGCACGTTAAAATTTGAGAAACATTGCTCGGCCTTAGCTGTACGTTGGAATCACTTGGGGAACTTTAAAAAATACCGTTGTCTGAAAATGATTTCTTGGATATGACACCAAAAGAACAGGCGACAGAAGAAAAAATAGATTACATGGACTGCATCAAAATTTAAAACTTTTGGGGATCACAGGACACTATCAATAGAGTGAAAAGGCAACCCATGTAATGGGAGAAAATATTTGCAAATCATATACCTGATAAGGGATTAATATCCAGAATATATAAAGAAGTCCTACAACTCAAAAACAACAACAAAACAATCCAATTCAAAATGGGTAAAGGACTTGAATAAACATTTCTCCAAAGAAGATATACAATCGGTCAATAAGTATACGAAAAGATGCTCAACATCACTAATCATTAGGGAAATGCAAATCAAACCCACAGTGAGATAATACTTCACACCCATTAGAATGGCTATAATCAAAAAAACAGGAAATAACAATTGCTAGTGAGGATGTGGAGAAATTGGGACCCTTACGCGTTGCTGATGGGACTATAAAATGGCGCGGCTGCTGTGGGAAACTGCTGTGCAGCAGTTCCTCAAAAAATCCAAAAAGCAATTACCATGCGAGGCAGCAATTCCATTTCTGGGTATATACCCAAAAGAACTGAAAGGGGGGACTGGAACAGACAGCTGTATACCCAAGTTCGTAATTGCATTATTCACAGTGGCCACAAGCAACCCAAGTGTCCATCAATCCATATGTCCAAAGTGTGGCATGTACATACAATGGAATATGATATGCCTTAAAAAGGAAGGAAATTCTGACACATGCTGCAACGTGGATGAACCTAGAAGACATTATGCTAAGTGAAATAAGCCAGTCATAAAAGGACAAACACTGTATGAGCCCACTTATACGAGGTACCTGGAAGAGTCAAATTCATAGAGGCAGAAAGAAGAGTGGTGGTTACCAGGGGCTGGGGGGACAGGGGAATGGGGAGTTAGTGTTTCATGGTTATGGAGTTTCAGTTTGGGAAGATGAAAAGTTCTGGAGATGGATGGTGGTGATGTTTGCACGACAATGTGAGTGCATTTAATATCACTGAACTGTACACTTATAAATGGTCAAAATGGAAGTTTTATGTTATGTATATTTTACCATAATAAAAAAATACTCATGCCTGGTCTCATCCCAAGATATTCTCACTCACTTGGCATAGGACGCAGCAGAGGCATCAGAATTTTAAAAGCTCCCTACATGATTCTAATATGTTGCAAAATTTGACAATTTATACCAGTGCTCCAGTGCTTCTCAAACTTTAATATGTACATGAATCACCGGGTGGTCTTGTTAAAATGTAGATTCTGATGCAGCTGATCTGCAGGAGAGCCCAAGATTATATATTTTGAACAAGCTCCCATGTGATTCTGACCATCCTGGTCCATAAACTACATGTTGAATAGCCAGGGTTAAGAAACCATACTATATGCTACAGTGATTCGTTCAAGAAACTTCTCCTCTGCCTCTAGATCTGAGGGTCTGAAACCAATCCTAGGGCCATACAATCCTCAGGGCTGCAGGCTCCGGCTGATCATTAGATACGCAAAGTACTAGCTATCTTCAGCTCAAATTACCACAATTGATAGGGGCGGACAAAGAGGGACTCTGACTCTAATTTTTGCAAAGAATTGAGAAGTAAAGGGCTGGAACTGGAGTGGGGGTCAGGTCTAGTAGACAAAAGATAGCTACCATTAATGCCCAGAGCCTAGAGAAGATGGGGTATGGGCAGGAATTTGCAAGCCAAGATAGAGATGCATGCCAGTGTGTTCCCCCAAACCATCGTGTGCCCAGTACTAGGAGGCACTCAATTAACATTTGTTAAATGGATGAAGGAATAAGTCCAAATGATAATGTGAATCAGCAGAAATTGCTTGCAACTTGTCATACAGTTATCTTAAAGCTGTTCTTTCGGGCTTCCCTGGTGGCGCAGTGGTTGAGAGTCTGCCTGCCGATGCAGGGGACGCGGGTTCGTGCCCCGGTCCGGGAAGATCCCACATGCCGCGGAGCAGCTGGGCCCGTGAGCCGTGGCCGCTGAACCTGCCTGTGCTCCGCAGCGGGAGAGGCCACA